CCAGAAGCATTGATGCACAAAGCACTTGGACGTAGCACATCAAAAAAAAAATATTCCATTTTAAAAGACAAATGTATCTGTTTGATTATTAAGATCAAATACCGAGGTCACAATATCTCATGCATAAAGGCAACAGATTAAAGAAAAACAAGCTAATTACATATTATCCCCTGTAGTTAGCCACCTTTAACATCCCGGTCCATACGTTTTAAAAAGTTACATTGGCATCTCTATAGTTACGAAAGTGAAATATCTAAATTCATTTATCCTAACGTCGTCGGTTTTATCAACTAAAACACAAAAACAAAGGACAAAGGGATAATTTTAACGTTCCAGTTGGCGATAGCGGACGACGACGCCGCTAGGGGCTGCGGGTGGCTTTGCAGATGAGGAGAGCAACGACAAGAGATGAGGGTCAATCTGCATCTGTGTCGACATTGATGCAATTTCCAAGAAACCCTCACCTCTCGCCATCGCTCTCCTCATCTACAATAGCTACAAGCGACCCCCAGGGGCGTCAGTCATTCGCCACCACCAATTGGAATGTTAAAATTTATATTTTTGCTCTTTGTTTTCATGTTTCCGTTGATAAAACCAATAATGTTAAGGTAAATAGACCTAGATGTTTCACTTTCGTAACTATAGGGATGTCAATATAACTTTTTAAAGTATAGAGATCGGAATGCTAAAAGTAGCTAACTACAAGGGTTAATCTATAATTAGCCCTCTGAGGGATTTTACATAGTTTTTAATGTTTGCTTGCAATATGACAAAATGAAGCATATTGACATGGTGCAATGTCACCACCTTGAAGAAAGTATGAACCAGAGTACTGGAGAAGAAAAAAGAATTAATACCATATACCAGAGCTGAAGCAGAATTTACTATCCCAGAAAAGTGAGAACCAAACCCCACCACCACTAAGCTACATTTGTATACACCATAGTGGTACCTCTAATAGCACTGTTGCCTCAGCCATATAGCAGATCAGAAACCCAGGACATGTAAATTGAGTAATCAAGAAAGTTTGACAGTTTTGCTAGCTTCTCATTTTCTTGTTAAGGCAAGTTATCTAGAACATATAATATCATGAGAATCATACAGGGATTGTATCTGCAGAAGAATAAAATAAAATAAAACAACTGGCACATGTTGTGATGCTAGGAGGGATAAAAAAAGATGCCTTTGCAAGTTGAATCTGAGTATGACAATAGAGGACTAAAAGCATTACTTTCCTCCACGAATTGTTCCAACTTCACTTCAATTTTGCATCATTCTTGCTAAGTTTGCAAGAAAATCCATAGAACTTATGAATTATCAATTGGCTCTTGACATGACATATTCCATGATCTAGATGAAAAGTGAAAATCCAAATGTGAGGAAGAAAAAGAAGAAGAAAATCTCCACTCTGTTCCTAGTTACTTATTCTTGCCGAGTGATAAGCATTTATGCTTTGCTCATCTGGACTCCAAGCTTCTCGGCATCAGAACATTGCCATCTCAGTCCATAGTTAAATATGGATACTTCACCTCAGCCGTTAATTGGATAATTTGATCAATAGAGAATAAAAACATCAAATTGATCCAGAAGTAGCAATATACAACCACATAAGAAGGTAATGAAGGAGGATCAAATTAGCATTTTGAAGAATGCAACAAGTGCAACATGACTAATTAATAACCAAGAGAAAGCAGATACGTTGAAGGAGCAGGTTTTAATTGATCAATCAAAAACATTAATACATATATATAAGATAAGGTGATAATGTTAGTAATCGACAAATATTTTCAAAACTTGATGTGGAACAAAGATTTTTAGATTTTTAGATTTTTAGTTAAATCTCAATTTGTTTCCTAGTTAAAACAGGGATAAATTATTTTTTATTTCTCTGTGAATTTTCAAATAATTTGCGTCCTTGATTTTCTTATATATTCTAAGGAGTCTTAAGAGTCCTTTTTCCTGAGCATATTTGGTGTTTAAGGTTTACAATTAAGTTAACAGTACAGGTCAGACAAGTGGTTTACCTATTAGAAATCATACTTTTGAGATTCTATAATCCATTTTGGAGCCCATCTAGCGATCCGATCTAGCTTGCTCGTCTGTGGAGGGCAGTTTGCACTTCGTGTAAAATTTCTTGCATCACAATCATCTTATTTACCATGCTTAAGGTTCCCCAAGAACCAGACGTGCTCAAAGACAAGAAGAACTAACATGCTACCCTATGGTCCCAAATCAGTAAAAGCATTACACAAAGACAGCAAAGATCACAACTTAAAACCCTTAACAACAACGGCAGCAGCAACCAAAAGAAGAAAAGAAGAACAGATCATAGTAGCAGCGAAGAACAACATACGGTATTGGGTGCTGCGGCTCGATGCCGCTCAAACATCGGTGCGGCGGCTGGAGCCGACGACATCGTGGCCTGCTTCCCACCGGACGCACCAGGGGCATCAGATCAGGCACTCCAGCCTTCCCTTCCCTGCCAACACCTCCGATTCAAGCAACGAATCAGAGCAAAGACAAGACAGAGAACCCAAGAAGCTAAAACCCCCACCATCAGCACAGCACGCACCCGCATTCCCCTCGCGCCCAATGGCGTCGATTGCGAAGGATCCAGTCCGCGCCGTTCCCAAAGGTCCGATTAGGGTGCCAAGCTCCGAAGTGGTGGAGAAGGGGGGGAGGAAAGAGAGAGAAAGGGAGGACAAGAAAAGGAAAGGGGAGAGAGAAAGGCGATCGAGGGGTGGGATTGCAATGATGCGGAGAGGGCCAAAAGATACGCACTCCCTTCCTCCCTCCCTCCCTCCCTCCCTTGTAGTGTAATGGTAGACACCGCAGCGATAGCGGAATCTCCCCCCGCACCCCGCACCCCACCCCACCTTCACCTCGGAAAGCTTCTCTGTCTCTCTCTCTCTCTCTTTCTAGGTCAGGTTGCGGTAAGAAGCAGTAATAATGAGGGTGGTAAAAGAGTTAAGAAATGAGGGGCGGTGTGTGCCTGCCTCCATTAAATGAAGGGAGGAGGCCGCCCTTGGCTTGTCCACTGCCACTAAACTGCACGCAGTTGAGTTGAGACGCAGGACGACAGGGGGTGGTGAGAGAGTGGCACATTGGGTTTGAAAATATATATGATTTTACGTATCTACCCTCGCAAAAACCTACAATTTCATGGGAAAAAAATGTATTATCGTTACTTAATAATACAATTTTGGTGATTATTCATATGTCCATTAATATGACAAATTTTAATATCTTAAAAATAATGCTAGAAAACACCAACATTATATATAAGCTTTTTAATTGGTAGCTGTCTGGCTTGCTTATTAAATATTTATCTCTGTATATGGCTCCTCTTAAAAGTGCATTCATTGTTAATTTTATTTGATCTTCATAGGTTCACTGTATCCTCAGATTTTGTATTCCTTTTCATTGAAAATGCATCTGTAAAGGGGTATCAATGTCAATTAATTGTTTTTAGTATCTTACTTGTAATTGTCAAGTACGATCGATCATCCGTAATAATATAATTTGTTATCACAAAAGTCTTCGAATCAAAAACCTTATAAAGGATATGTAAGTAATTTTGCAATAGTTGAATAGTGACAAATATGTCGAGAAATGGTGTGTCAATTGGGGGTTACTTTTACTCCAAGCCCAAGTGGGGTCATGGAGAGTTGTGGGTGAGAAGAGGTGGGTAGGGTGGGTTGGGGATGGGTTGGTTTTGTCACGGGGATGAGACAGGAGGGAAAGGGTGGGGCCGACCCGAGCTGGCCTCTTGTGGCCCAAGAAAAGAGACGGGGAGGGGGAAGTCATTCGTGCCTTGCTGTTGTTTTAAGAGTCATCTTGTTTGGCTTTTGGCTCTGCTTGGTTGGGGTTCTCGTAGGGGACCAAAACGCCAACCGGAGGGGAAAAAAGCGGGGGAATATAATACTGGGAGGTCACGTGGATTACAGCCGTGTTACAATTATTTTTATTTTATTGTATTTTAATTCTTTCATACATGTGTAATGTAAATATATGATCACTGAACCGCACGAACAATATCTCCGTAGAAATGTGATTTAAGGTGTGATGAGATTAAGTGGTGAAAGTGTTTTGATTGATTATAGACTATATAGATTCCTGATTGAAAAATTTTGTATAAAGAAATTTGCCTTTCTCTGCATTTGGGTATCTCCATCATCAATTGATTTGATTATTTGATGATTTGGATAGACAAGGAAGCATATGTGTCTGAATCTTAGTGGTACAAAGTTGACTCGATAATAAAATGTAAACTGAGTCATTATAATAATTTCATATTCGTTGACTTGTGGTGAAAAGTCACATAGTTTAGGAGCAATTAAAGATGATTTTTCTAGTTGATGCGATGATAGTAATCCAAATCGAATTGAGAAAAAAAAGGGCTTCTTTGTTTATGCAATATTATGGAATTGACAAAAAATAGGCTTTGTTTATGCATTGTTAGTAAACCGAATGAAATTGATAAAAGGCAGGCTTTGTTTATGCAATGGTAGTAAACCGAATGGAATAAAGACAAGACAGGGTTTGTTTTTGCAAAGTGTTTTTAGGGACTAGATTTTGTAATGAGGTTTTTTTTTTGTTTTTGTAACGAGTTAATAATAAAGCTTAGTCAAGGAGACTAAAACCAAAGGAACATAATATTAAAGCACATAATTATCTATCAACATATTTTTTCTTAGGAACAATTCGGTGACATCTAGTGATAGTCATGACGCTAGATGAAATTAGCATGGCATGTGTGATAATAATGGCATTTAATAATGAAATTAACAAAAAAAAGTAAATAACGATAAATAGAATCATTAAATTAATCAACATTATGGACAAAAAACAGACTTCTTCATCTACCATGATTAATGACGTCAGCATTTTTATAAGATTTTATTACATGAAATGTCACTAATAACAAATATCGAGTACACGATTTTGATCAAAGTAAATATCAGTAAAGTATATATATCTAACCGACCAGTATTAGAACCAACAATAAAAAAACTCAGCACCCTAATTTAGAATATGAGAAAACTACAATTGCAGCGTCCAAACTATTATAAACCATAAGACAAATGTTGCAAGAATAAGAAAACATCACCATAGGACGAACTCAAGAACAATCATGAAACCTAAATGTAAGAAAATATCTGGTCTTTTATGGAAGGGTGACCTGGAATGCTGCTCCACTGAATGAGAAAACTCGATAGGTTATTGATCCACAAATGATGCTAATAATTACAAAAAAACAGGTGACAGCGTTTTGATGAATCAGAAAAATCAATGTGTATACTGACTGGCCCAAGAGAGAGAATGCCGCATCAGGTCCCTTAGAATCTAATGCTCTGCCTCGTCTTGATCATTCGCTTTAATGGAGCAAGCCAGAAGTTGCACTCATCCCAGTACCTTGTTGTCAACTCCACCTGATACCATGAAACAAATTGTCAAGCACCAAAAAACTGACCTTTCTGCAAAGAGATGGCTTTAGTTGGGCACTGTAGATTGTAAAAGATAGGATCAAACAACACAAATAGCAAGTTTAACATGATAGACTTGTCTGAGAAACAAAGAGGCAACAGCACCAAAATATGTGACATATGTTGCTAATTATATCATAGGGTTCACTAATTAAAGTACACACATTGGTGCCATAGTCAGGTTGCTCATTTGTAACCCGGATGATCAAGTTTCAAATCATGAAAATAACCTCTGCTTGGGTAAGGTTATTTTATACTCTTCAAACACCACACTGGCAGGATAGGATGTACATGCTTAAACATAACTATCAACATATACTCAAGTGGAGATGGTAAGAAGATGTTGGTCAAGTGGGTTAGTAAAATTTTTTGAAGCAGCAGAATTGTATCACCAACAAATCAAGCATGTCTAACTAGAAAATAATTTTGGAAGTTAACAAGCAATATCGGACTAGCAATCTCGCAAACAAAAGAGGTAAACTTAAGACTATATAATTTTAAATAAATTGTCTCTTGCTTTAAGGAAGCTTCATGATTGCCATAAACAACAGGGGCAGTACGTTTCCAGATATAAATGCAAAATAACAAAGGAAGAAACTAAAGCAGAGAAAGAAGGCACAATCCACACAGATATATAACTTCTTCAATAAAGCTCATGTGCTTTTAGAGTATGGATGAAGATGGTTCACACTCACTAGCAGTAATACTATTCTAGCACCCTACCTGGATATGTAATGCACCAGCAAAATCCCCAGCATCCAAAGCCTGGCAAAGCTGAACAAGCTTAGCAGCAGCATCAGGTGATATGTCCCCGCCATTAAGTTTTCCAAACAAAGATCCAATTCTCCTGGAGTTATCCTCAATTTCCCGTTTTTTAGATGGATTTGCATGAGGTCCTCCAAGAGCTGCTGAAGTCTCATCATAAAGTCTCGTCAAAGTGGCAATAACAGGCTTCAACTCAGCTGCAAGAGCACACAGAAAAGAAAAACATACCTTAGAAGAATCTAAATTGTGCAATTCATAAAGTTATAATCTATCATTACCTATGAAAGGAGGTGGCCATTGATACAAGAATTATGAGAACATATGCACTTTGTGAAGAGCACAAATAAAGATCAAGAACCTTAGATATCATAAATATTAACTACTATCCGCTAGGAAGTAATACTGACCCAAACAGTCACTTGAAGACACTGGAGGATCGATAACCATTATAAAGCAACTAAGAGAACTCAAAGACAGTATAAAACTCAATTAAGAAGCAACCAAGAAATTATGCAGAAAACCTTGTTAACTTATCAATTTTCTCACCTCTCATTGAACTTCAGAACATAAAGGCTAGCAATAATATGCTCGCATCAAAATGGTCATAACTATCAAAATAATCTTGTAAGGCAAGAAAAGCAACATAAGGCATTCTTAATGATCCACAAATGCCATAGATTGTTAATACTAAGAAATCAATGCCACAAATGCCATAAAGGCAGAGGACGGCATAGGAGAGGGCAACAAGAGCACATAATCTCAAGCTGTCTCAAACACACTAGAGGAAGAGGTGCCATGTTGAAGAAATTTGGATCAGAGTTCTTTAGAGGTTGGGAAGATGACCACACATTTAATTTGGTGAAAGGAAATCACAGAATTATCCAGAGAAGGCATCAACATGACTCATGTGCCAGATTAATAGCTTGTTAGCAGTGTGCATTTGGCTTATGAACAAAAATATAAATTTTCATGTTTTGACAGGCCAAACTATATAGATAAAAGATTACAAAATTACTTAACTGCAGAGAGGTTAAGATCCAAATGCTACAGATACTGCTTTCAAACCATTGTTTGTGAACGCAGAAGATAATAAAATAAATAATAATTTACTTCATTCAGAGAAAAGTATTACCAGGCACATTTGACGTGTCAACTGTTTGTACGGTAGGTGGAGGGGCTGATGGAACAGTCACAGACTGTGGTTGAGGTGGTTTTGTCGGGCTTGAAGGTTGTGCAGGACTCATACCAGGCATCTGAGTAAAATTTGAATTGGGAACCGGCATGAAACCCCTTGGTGCAGAAACAGGTCCAGCAGGTTGTGAAAATCTGTGTCCAGTGCCAGCTGCTGGTTGAGATGCACCAACACCATGTGAAGCAGGAATTGGAGGTCCAGGTTGATAGACAGAATTGGCGACTCCCTAGCGAATAAGAGTTTCAGTTAGGATATACATAAATATGACCAACATAGTTGGTGAATGGCTAAGAATATGCAGACCGGATATAGCTGAGAGCCCAAGCTGGGTTGCTGATAGTGTTCCACATTTCTAAGGGCTGCAGGAGTTGTAGGAACAAATGGTTTTATTGTTGGCTGCACCGCAGCAGCAGGTGGATTGAAATTTTGCTGTTGTCAAACAAAAATATCATATATGGATTTATGGATAAAAGCAGAAAATAATTCTCAGGATGTTGAAGAAAGTACTACTACACAAGCAATAGAGACAAAATGTGGAAGATAATGCAAGATCCTCCAAAACTACCAACTAAAGTAACTATGAACTTAAACAAACCACTATATACCAAATAAGTTGAATCAGCTTTTTGAGGCCATATGTGAATGAAGGCATTCAATAGAAACTTATAAAACTGTCCATAGTATCTAGTTCAGTGTCAAAACTCCCTTAACAATACACTCAGGGAAAAGAAACAATTTAAACATAAAAACTTATATTACAAAGCATAAGGCTTTAGAAAAGTTGTATTTGTTACTCCTTATCAGATTACCCCTTAGAAAAAAAGAACAAATCTGCATCATTGTAGATTATTCAATTTTGTTCTCTACAGAATCCTGCAAGGTATAGACATGTCCTATGACCATTCTACAAGAACGAAACAGCAACTGACTTCGAACATGTGAAGCTGTAGGAAGTCTTAGCTCATATATTAGATATCAGATTAGACATTAAAGCTTAGCTGCCAGAAGAAGATATGAAAAGGTGAGATGTGAAAAAAAATCAAGGTAGTTAGCATTTGTAAAATGTCTCTCTCTCTATATATATATATATATACAAATATGTGTAACTTTCTTACAGAATTTTCTTGGCAAGGCTATTTCTGACCAAGTACAATGGTGCAACTACACTAAGCAGCAACTAGAAGTGCATTAGTAAGAAAATTAGATTGAAAGAGCAAACTTGATGCAGGGATGCAAAAAGAAAAAGACCTAATTCTAACATCAATAAAACAGCATATGTTAACAATTGGTACGGTTCAATAACAAAGAATCAAAGAAAGAATGTAACAAGCAACCACCATTGGCTACAACCTATACATTCAACAAGTACCTCTGGAACATGGCTTGTCTGTGATGGGATAAACATTTGACCTGGCTGTGCTGGTTGAAATGGCATGGGATTACTAAAATCATGGAACTGTGGTTTCTGTAGCACATGTTGGTATCCTCCATAAGCAGAACCAGGAGATTGGTGATAGCCTTCAGCATGTGGATTACCAGCAACACTGTGATGTGGTTGGGGTAGGCTCTTATCCTAAATCGAAGTTTTGAACACCAAAAGCAAAAAAAATTATTTGCGGGACAACAGCCGAATCCACTCAACGATATGTAGTATAATAACAAAAGGAAATAATCAACAATTTAACAAGAAACTACAGAAGAAAACCTGATAATAATTCTGTGACTGGTCTATAGTGCCAAAACCAGTATGATCTGCACCATACCCAGAGTTAGCTTGTGATGTAGTACTTTCATAACACAGATTTTTGGGTGCTTCCCTTTCTGACAAAGAATGTTAACAATGACACTGTCAGATTATAGAGTGTAATATTGCAGAACTAGATAATACTTAGACCACTGCATGACACCTGAATGGGAAAAAGAGAAGAGAGAAGAAGTGCCAGAGCTGAACGTAGGCAAGTTTTATAAGAACAGACTGAGAGAAAAGAAAAACAGATCTCAAATGCACAATGCCCAACAATGAAAGTTCTACTTTACCTCACCAGACTAACAAGTTAAGAAGTAAACAATGGGCTAGATTTTAAAATAAGGAAGTCTTTATTTGGCTAAACTTTTAGCAAGTAATAATTATGCCAATACATACCAAAATTCCATTCTAGAGATTTTAATAATAACATGCATACTGTGCTACAGCACTTACCTGCTTTAAAGTAGAAGCATAAAATAAGGCTAAAGGCAACAGGGTTGTAGAATATAAGAATAGAGAAAGTAGGTAGGCAGCAGAGGACAACATAGGAGAGGGCACCAAGAGCCCATAATCTCAAGCTGTGTCATACACTAGAGGAAGAGGTGCCATGTTGAAGAAATTTGGTAGAGAGAGCTTTAGAGGTTGGGAAGATGACCACACATTTAATTTGGTGAAAGCAAATCACAGAATTATCCAGAGAAGGCATCAACATAACTCATGTGTCAGATTAATAGCTTGTTAACAGTGTGCATTTGGCTCAACACAGGCAAATAATATAATCAGGCACCATATATGCCTCCAGCCAAGTGCAAGCAAATATTCCAGTGCCAGCAAAAGCATCTTGCAAGTCACAACATTTAGTTGTCACCAGTTAACATCTCGTAAGTCACAAAAATTAGGTTGGCACCAGTAAAATAATCAAGCTACTGAAGAAGAAATAAACTAACGATATTGGTGTTACCAAGGACCGCCATCTTGTGTAGACTGATGGTATCGGTCCTGGGCGGCCTAGTACACACCAGTTGGTACCAGGGTACTGTATATTGGTCCACTGGTTGTACCAAATTTCAAGAAAAAAGCCAGAAAATGGCCAAAAATCATAAAAAAAAACCTTTTTTAGGGTTTTTAATCCTAATTTAAAGATTTTTATTCTATTTCAAAAATAATAAAGTGTAAATGAGTCAAAAATGAATAGGAACTGGGCTTAATTTTGGCCTAAAAGTAGATAATGGACTTATTTAAGCCTAATCTAAATAGAAATACACTAATCACTCTCAATTATTCATAATTATAAAATAATAAGCATCCAATTATGTCAAATGATAACTAAAACATAGAAAGAGAATAAATATCTTTAATTAAAATATACTCAATGTTTGATGTACTGTCCGAAGCGGTATGAAACAGGCGGTACATACTGGTCTACCAACTAACCAGTACGTGAACCAACCCATTTCGAGCAGTACACACGAAGAGGGTCAAGTAACGACGGGTGATGTATTGGCTAGTACAGGTGATGTATCAGTCGATGCTATATTGTTCGACATGGGTTGGTACCGATCGGAATTTTACGGATATCAGCCCAAATCGGATCAAGTTTGACCCCGATGGTCAATTAACTATCGGGGTTTTTTTAGAGGCTCTAATCCCCTCCTTCCCCCCACTTTTCACTTTCTCAGTCACTATTTCATTCTCACTCTTCCTAGTAGTAATCAAGGTATTGATTTGGATAAAAGAGGGATTCAAATGCAGGATCGAATGGAATTTCTTTCCAATTTGAAGGTATTTAGCTTTTTCTATATTTCTTTTATCATTTCATATAATTAGAGGCATGTCAATGCATATTAACAAAAAGATTAAACATGATTCAGGTGATTCTCTTTTGTTAATTCCAATTATGTCTACTGTCTTACATTTAAGCCTAAATTTGAAGAGTTTAGTGTTAATCACAGCCTTTATGCATTTATTTGTCTCATATACACACTATTCTTAATTAAATATAATAAAATTAGGATAAGAAATCTAAAAAAGATTTTTTTGTGAATTTCTGACCACTTTTCAGCCTTTTTTTCAAAAACTGGTACATACCAGAAAGGTTGAAAGAATTCGGAGTCTTCAATAGCATATGGATACCAGAAAGGTTGAAAGAATTAAATTGAAGTCTGCCAATTTTATCCAATGAGAACAGCTTAAATGGTGTAAGGGGAAATGATTAATCCCGCAGAAAAGTTGATTACCCTATTAGTAAGATACAATGACTTTGTTGTTGTCTAAAGAGAAGCATAATTGTCAAAAGCCTATTATTCATAATCATCACCAAGGCAAGTTATACATTATCCAAGATATTCACATTATATATACGAAATCTTTTACCTTCAGCAGAGAGAGAAATTCGATCTCTCAATATAGCAAGCTCATGTGAGGATTCTTCTGATCCCAATAGTTTTAAATACTCCATTGCAGTAGTGAGAAGACCCTGGTTAGCCAGTAATTCAGCATAGTTCTCCACAAGTTTAGACAAAGAAGCACTAAACCGTTTATGCCCGGTTGCAAGGGTGAGGACTATAGTCTTTTCCATTAAATCCTACAAGGGAAAAGAATCATTAAACTGCTGGTTTTTAGTAACAATTAAGCTTTACACTTAATGAAGTTACCTGAAGAAGATCTACATAAGTCCTTCCTTCACAATCAGGCTTTAGGCTATGTGACCAAATCTCCACGGTTCTGTCAATATTTCCAGCACAGATATAGCAGAGAGTTGCAGCAAGCATGTTCCCCACAGTCACAAGTCTTGAAGCTAGATTGTCACACAGAACAGTCCATTCCTCTTTCTGTGCAAACTGTCACAAAAAAATGTTGGCATCCAATCAGCAGCTGCTGTGATAGCAACGAACATAGAAGGGTTCATATAAATGATAGATGCAAAGCCAGGTTGTCAGGTGATGAACAGAATGCTAAGAATTAGGCAATTCTCAACCCCTTAACAATTTATATTTTTGTATGCATAAATATAACGAAGACAATAAAAAAGGAGATAAAAATTCAGAATTTCATTTCATTTTAAATTATTGCAATACTTTATTTTCTGAGTAAAATTTCATGCAACACGTTCAGAATTACAATGAAAGCATTTAGGGACACAATTACATTTCCTCGTCAACAGAAATAAACTCTGATGTAGAACAAAATAAAAACAGAAAGCACAAAATCAATTATCAAGTATCAGGTTGTATATCTGTTTTCACAAAATCAGCACTGCCACTACAATTTTTTCAAAGCATATTAACCTTTGAAAACTTGCCAGTGAACTCAACAACGAAACAGAGCACCATACAGCCTATGCCTATATAATGGTAATGTTCATCTAAAACTCCAATTTTGAATCTAAATTAAATTCAAGGTTTATGCTGTTCTTCAAGTTAGATAGCCGAGCCCTAACTTTTACATAGAAAAATGTGCTGCCTAGCTAGAAAGAGTGATTCAACACACATATTCACTTCTTTTCAAATCATTTGAACTTTCTGCTGGATTGGTAGTATATCTTATTTCAACCAGTCTGTCCTTGGTAAAAAGCCATGAATTTAGTATTAATGTTTTCAAAGTGCTAAAAACAAGGAGCAACGGCTGTAAAAGCTACTAGTTTTCTTATGGAGATGAAACACCTCATCAAAGAACAACTTGATCATAAAAATTCCTTTATGTTAAATAGAGCAGGATAGAGTGAAAGATATAAATATGTCATACAACTAAAAGAAGAATAACTTAGTCTTAAAGGAGGCAACTAATATTAAATCAATAGAAAACAGGAAAAATAAAAGCGAATAAAAAATAACAGAAAAGTTAGTTTGTCATAACATAGAGCTTACAGTGCAAAGAAGAGCAAGTGTCTCCTTCCATGAATTCAGAGGTCTGGTATTAATCAGGTTCATGAGATCATTATTCACCATCGCAGATACAACCTGAAATGAATGACACTAAATTTAGACTACTAACCTCAGGCAGATTCTGCCAATATATGTCCCTAAACATTTCAAACTAAAACAATAAAGCACAAATGCCTTTGTGACACATGCAGAAAATGCTTACATAGAAAACAAATACCTTTAGATAGGGTGTGAGACTATTCCGAAGATATTGATCGCGTGTACTTTCCCATAGTGAGGAACCACCTGCATGTGCAATTACTAATGCATCAGCCATTCTGTTTGCAGTAATGCATTGTAACACTGCTCCCTTATAGTCTCCAACAACCAAAGCACGTTGAATGGTATCATCAAATGAAGCACCGTGAGTCCCCATAGGTTCTTCTGGTTCTCCCTGAACCTCTTTCCCATTAGGAACACTACTGTCTTCATTGGCCAAACTATCCTCAACAATCTGAGGATTGTTAAAGAACTCCTCTCCATTGTCAATGGCTTCACCTTCAACCAATAAATTGTTATCACGACCGAGAGTATTCTCTAATTGTTTCCCAAGATCATCATAGGTAATATCAGTACTCTCATCTGGTATACTGAAACCGAGATGACTAAGCAACTTAGTCCTGGCTGTTCCCTCTTCCTCGAACATAATTTTCAAGAAGTTCCATGTTTCTTTGTCGTCTTCCAATCTGTTAGAAAGAGAAAAAACAAAAAAATTAAACAATATGTAGCATGTAAATAACCCATGAACCCAACTCGTATATATAGATGACACACATAGAATCATGCAACTTCTTTTCACATAAAGCACGAAGCGAGGCTTTTTCCCCATTTTGTATTGCAGCTTCAAATTCAGTGGAGCGGCTCACCAAACTATGCTCAGTAACTAAGTTATACACATATACCTGAAATAAAAGGAGAAAATTCAATTAGAAAGCATCAAGAAAATACTTGATGACATAATTATTAAGTTTACCTCTGAAGCAGATGGTGGAACACCTGGCGACGTTTGGCTAGTCTTAAATGATATAAGCTTCCCTCCAAAACCAAATGATACACCAGTTGGACATTTTAACCACTTTGGAGCTCTTAAACGTACTGAAAAGAGCAGACATAATTGTGAAGCCAGGAAAAATATTCATCATAGACATCTTTACATAAATCAACAAGAAGAAAGAAAGGATTGCCAAGAAGCTAACAAGTGTCACAAGATCATTCTTTAGGGGGCCAACAGGAAAGGCTGATCCTCATCTCTTTCAAAATTCAAACTAATCTATCACTTGATCTGACTGGATGTGCATAAAAGGATTGCTCATGGATCATATTGCACAAGAAATTATGCTAATCAACAAATCATAAAATGGGTCTGATGGCATGATTTTGATTACAGAAATGAGTACTGTTAACTTACAGGACTGCTAAAAGGTAGGCCTTCATTATAGACAGGAACAAATACCAGTAACTACTTATAATTCATTTAAGATACTAAAGTATCTGTTTCTAATATAGAGAATCAACATGAACCATACTTTTATGGCTTCCAAATCTTGAACAAAAAAAACTCAATACATGTGCTATTAGTTCTAAAGAGATGCTTTAAAAGTTAATTTTCTGTTTTCTCAGTTTGAATTGGTTTCAAAAACCACATTGATCTTGTTCATTTGGCACATTTTCAGAATCAATTGAAACTTTAAGGAAACCATATGACAGAGAAAAACAACAATGAAGTTGCAACTAGTTCAAACTGATTGGCCCAAGGATCAACATTTCGGATATCGGACCTGTTATGATGATATGGTCAGACCAGTGCATACCAGTCAGTTGCAGTGTACCATATGTCAATACACTGGTACATACCAACATTTCAGAGAGGAAGAAAAAGGAGAAGAGGAAGAGCGGGTGGAGGAAGAGGAGGAACGAAGGAGAGGCAGTGGAAGAGGAGGAAGAAGGAAGAAGAGGTAGTAGCAGAGGAAAGAGAACGAAGAAGAGGTGGGGGTGTACCTAGGGAGATAGAAATCGACAACAACGACGATGTCGAACAGCAACAGCAGTGACAGAAATTGGCAGTGGCATTGCAAGAAGATGGCAGCAGCGTCACGAAGCAGTGGCAACAACAGCTGCATCACGAAAAGAGGGCTTGCAAACGAGTAGACGGTAGTAGCATCATGAGAAGAGGGCTCGCGTTCACAAGCCACAGTTGCTATTTTATTTTTTTATTCTTTTTACATTGAGTTGGGTGGGCCCCATCGCTATTTTAGGTTTATTATTTTTGTTCAGACTGCCCAAAGTGAAAAAAGCTGGCAGGTCAAATATTATTCATAAATCATAAAAAGATACACGTTAATTCAGATGTATGACTTCCCCTATTTATAAAGCTATCAAGATACACATAAAAACAAGTCTGAACTTGAATGCTAATATTTAGAACAGTCCATAAAAAAGCCATTGAAGATTTTCTAAATTAACTGACCCATTTGAAAACAGAATATTTTATTAACCAATTCCTATTTTAAAAAGGTAGTGCTTTGAGTTTAATTGTTTGGCCTTTGGGAAGGCTCCAGAAATTGAATCAACATCACACACAAGTCAGAGATCAAAGTCAGGTTAAAATAGTGGGTGGAGAATAATTTCCCTTGGATGCTATTAAACTTTCTATAGATATATGAACCATCTAAATTAAGAAAAAAAGTAAAATAAAATTCCAACTCTAAATCCATTAGAGAAACTCAAAACAATGAGCTTTCTTCACAATTGTGTGTGTTACCCGACATTATTTCACATTGAATAATCATATTCCAAAGCCAGGTTAAAAACATTAATCTACCTTGAAATATGGCACCAATTACTGCCTAACATAGCAACTAAAGGACAAAAACTCATCCAAATGTCACAGGAAAAAAAAAACCATAATTTAAATTCTATTAGACTCGAACTTTAAAAATAGCAAGACACAAACATGGCATGGACTCAAACCCTAGAGTGCATCATTTACTCACTCTACTTTGGACCAAACCAGCAAATCAAACAATTAACAATTGTATGGGAAAAATTTTTCAAGTGCAACTACCAGTGTGCATTCATTAGCTATCTTTTGAAATCCTCATATAAATAATGTGTCAAATGGTTGGCAAGGCTACATATAAAGAGCAGAAAAAAGCACTGCATTGGTTGGCAAGGCTACATACCAGGAACACCAAATTCACCCTCTACAGCTGCATACCTACTGCAAGCCTGCAACAAGAATGATTTTATTTATAATTCTAAACTCAAAAAATACAAAAAGCTAGCCAAGGATATTTCTCTGACTATAGTCACAAACTGCAAACACCTTAAATAATAGACATGGCTTTCATCTATGAAAAACTAAACGTATAACATGAAGCTAAAAACCGTATCTTTACCAACACATTATCTAGAGACTAAAGCATTAACGTTTTCCCATTGTCACATGAAGGGATAACAAAAAAGGTGCTATACATAGGAACATATAGCTAAATTTGCCAATATTGTATTTAGTTATTGCTCACATTCTGAATTTCTATTTGTAAGAAAATTTTCTATATGTAGAAATATGTCTAGCTCCTAACTGGCATAGTTGAAGAATATGAGAGAGAATTATCCCATGTGGCAATCATAACTTTGTTCTCATGTGAACTTTTGACCATGGCAAATCTTTCTCATTGTTTACCAGATTATAAAATACATAACCAAAAGTTTCACACCATGATAGATCAAATTTATAAAAGGAATCAAGAATGGAAATCTCAGTCCAGTACTAATATTGGTTGTTGGCTAGACCAATATGATACTGAAATGTGTGTTGACCATCTAATCCATAAGACCTATCGTATCCATCACAGATAAAATAGATAGAGTTTTTTTATTTCTGTTCCTTTTCGAGCTATACTTGTGCAATTTTGCTACAGTATTAAATACTCCAGATTCAATATGTTTTGAACTGATTGTAGATTATGAAGGAGTCCTTCGTAAGAGTACTGAATCAATTTCAAACTGTATGCAAACAAAGCTAATAAGTTGAACAAAAGGAGGTTTGCTTTTTACGACTGCTTCGTTTTTTCTAAGAGTTGAAATGAGACAAGAACCCTAGGAACAATGATGTCATATAAAAGGTGTTCATCCTTTTTAAGTAGCTGGGTATTTAAGATAGATATATCTCTTTCTGTTGACCACTGGCCTTGTCTCCTATTCCTCTCCTTTCTCTATTATTTCTTCTCTTTTTTCTCTTCAATTTTTTCTGTATCATCAAAAGAATCTTCTATCAAAAGAATTTTTTGCTTTAACTTTATTTGCTGAAAATAAACCACAGCAGACACCATGACTATTTCCGAAAATCAACTACCACAGATACAATCTGTTGGACCTATGAATTTCCAAATCAAAGAATCCTCAATGTACAAACAGGAATTAAATTCTGGCTGTCAGCACTGAAACAGCCAGTTAATGCTCTACAGGCAGATCAAATCTAAAACTGAGTTAGAAGGCTTATATGACAGCCTACCCTTCATCAGCATGATGGGAAAAGGACCAACTAAAAGGTATAAATAGGAACTACACAAAAGGATCCAGAATGATACATGGGGAACATGAGGATGGTTACAGAAAATATAAAAGGTAGAAGCAGGAAGTAACACAATAGATAAAATATCTGAAATGATCTACCAACTAAAAGACCTTTTCTAGTACCAAAAGGATTCATACATGACCGTGATAAGAAAAAACAGCATAACTTTCCTAATCAATTCTACCTACAGTTTGTTTCAACATAAAGAGTAGTCGAAACTTTCTTGATATCTTCCGATGCAAGAAAATAAAAAAGGCTTCAGCTCCTATTTTATTCCCTTCAGCACCACACCTTCTTGGGATATTTTGAATCTTTTAATGACTCAAGTTGAACAAAAGTCTTGGGCACAAAAAATGGAGTCATGAAGATCCCTAAACCAAATCCAAAGTCAACTAAACTTAAAGCACTGATTTAAACCAACTTACGGAATTAACTAACTGTTTCATCTCCTACTAAAAAATAAACAAATAAATTACCAAAACAAAGCAACAAATATTAAAAAACCCTACAATACTTATGAAGCATAACTCAACAGTAACGACCAGAACTACTCATAATGACTCAACCTGACCAAATGAATAAAACTAGATTCAAACCTTTTTATCCGAATCAAGCTACGTCAAGAGGATCAATCTTATGAGCAATTTAGCTAAGTTACAACTCTATCACCGTCTCAAATGAGGCATTTGCTCTCTTGAACTAACCAATGGGAAAACATACAAAGCTGTGATATCCACAAACAACCATTTCTTAAACACAAGTTATTAAAACAAAAAGCGCATATGACTTTTGTGATCCATACATCATTGATAAATTCTATCTTGTAAGACTTTTTTTTTGTTTAATATGACTTCCTTCCAAATGAAGGTAATCATCATTACAACAGAAATGAAGCTTACAAAAATTTATACATTTCCTTACAGACAGGGGACTGTATGCAATGATGATAACCCTGAAATAAAATAGGAATGTGTTGCGTGTTTTTACCTCTATATTGTATATTCCTACTTTGACATCAAAGGAAGATGCTGATATGACTCCTGGGATTTTAGGATACCAATGAATGTCAAAGTTCCAGTTGGTGCTGGCTGGCAATTCACTTATTATCTGCAGAACAACAAAATAAAATTAAAAAAGAAAAGAAAGATAAACAGTAAATCTATCATGCATGGGGTGTCTATTAGTTAAATTATTGAGGAATTGGTTGCTTGCTTACCTCCCCAGAAGTTGTATCCCAGCAAATTGTTCTATTATCTTTGGCACAGGTAAGCAAAAGTGAACTGTCATAAGGACACCATGACATAGCAATTACACCTGATTAACACAAGAAAGTCAATGAAAGAGAAAACAAGACTGATATTCAGGGAAGTTTTCGTACATGTCAGTTAAGATATAAAAAACAGAGGAAAAATACAAATTGCCAATGGCTTGAATCACTAGAGAGCATAAAAGTGATGTAGACTTGTACTCTAGGACATGTGAAAAAAAAAAGGAAAGAAAAGGAGAGCACACTGCATAGTTTTAGGTGTTTTTAGTATTATTATAAAGTAATGCAGGCCTATGGCATGCATCATAATGGAAAATAATAAATGTCAATACTATCTAATGTTTGGCAAACAATTAAACTGGCATAGTACTGGTATAATGAGCAATATACCAATTGTAGCACTAGGTACATTGAATACAACAACAACAAAAATGCCAAAAAAAAATTAAAAATAAGGAATATATTAAATAAAATAAGTAAATAAAAAAATAAATGTAACAGTAATATATACTTGTATCAATCTATTATGGCATGCATTATAATGGAAAACAGTACACGTCGATATTATCTAAGTTTTGGTTAAACTATCAAACAGGTATACTACTAGTATAATGGGGGATATACCAATTGTACCAAGGCATACTCAATAAAATAATAGAAGCTAGAAGTAAACAGTCCCATATGGTCATATACTTGTATCAATCTATATGTTTCAATACTGGTAGTTGGCCAGATGTATTGATACCAGTTTGTACATATAACTTCAATTGATATATAACTCCTTGGTTCCAACCGTATTGTACAGAGCTAAATCATGTCAGAAACATACTAAAACTCTTTCCTGCAGAAATGTAAAACCTTAGTGTATAAAATCAAGCTACATTCACAATCTCCACCCTTTGTGTTTTTTATCCACAGGTTTTATTAATTAGCTATCATACATGTCCATAAACTCACAAATAAGGCTAGTTGGAACAACCCAAAAACATAGATGCCCGACCTCCATCTCTGGATTCAAAATCAAAGCCTCTGGGTTGGATTAGGCCACACAGTTTAAACCCGATGCATGAATAGTGACATGGCTATATATAAATGCTCAACACCACCAAAACTGTTCTAGCAAACTTGATTTTGATCCTAAAACATATCCAGGCATCCCAAACCAAGGTTTTTAATCTTGTACCATACTTCTGAGCGTTATGCCTAAAATACGCATAAAACTCACTGGAAATACCTGAAAAATTAAAAAAAAAGTTAGGATAGAGTTTTTAAGTTAGAAATAAATATAAATTTAGAATAGTTTTAGCAAAACTAATGTAAATTAAGTCAGAATAGTGCCACGTATCTTTTTCGGGCACATCGCAACTTTAGCCGCATGTTATAGTAGGCATATACCAGTTTCACCAACCATCAAATTGAATTAACCCAATATCAAACACCCTAATAGGCAAGGATTACAACACCGAATGATACCGCCCGTATCGGGCAATACCGTTTGTATCGGGCAGTACCATTGATCTAGCCCCATATCAGATAATACGAGGTTGTACCGGGTGGTAACGATCGATATTTCGACTGTTACCGCCCGAAATAGGTCGGTGACGATCGATTTTGACCGTCGCCACCTGCTACCTGACGGTATCAGCCTAGCTATGGCGAGGGAAGAAGCGTCGAGGGAGGAGAGGGAGAAGGTGCTCGAAGAATAGGGAGAATCGAGAGAACATCAATGCTTCCCGATCTGACGCCGCCCTCCCTCGATGAACCCGATCCAGGAGGTAACGAAGAGGCAACAGCTCAACTTCTTCTTCGTCGCGTTCTTCATCGAAGATCGGAGACGTATGCGGCCTTCGATGTCTTCGTTGAACGCCGCAGATGAGAAGGCCACGTTCTTCTCCTCATATAATGCAACGAGGAGAAGAAAAGGAGGTGACGTCGCCGAGGCAGTGTACACCTTTTTTATTTTTTATATTTATATATATTAATTTTTATATTGTATATGTGTACCGAGCGGTATGCCCTAGCGTACCGCTCAATACGCTCATACCATACTGTATCGAGCTTTGCTTGACATGTTGGTACAATACGAAATTACGAACCTTACTAATAGGTATTAAAGAAATTAATCAAACACCCTAATAGATATTAAAGAAATTGAATTGACCCAATATCAATCAAATTTTGATTATATTATCATTAAAATCACTAATTGTAACATTAAAAAACTTTATTAAAACCTAATTAAACCTACTATACCATCACACATATATGATCTGATAATTAATATGCATGAAATATAAACATTTGACCTATTAAGTGTCTAATTTCGAATAAATCAATATTAAACACACTAATCACAATATTAAAGACCTTAATGACTCCCTAATAAACACTATTCTACCATCAAAAGCATATCAAATAACATATTAGACATTAAGTCATATATCACATAGAATAGGCTTAATCATCTCATAAATCAATAAAAATATAAAAAGAGAATACATACCGCTTGATTAAAAAGTTCTTCCTCTTAATCCTCTCAAATTAGCCTCCTAAATTTAATTCAATCCACAAATCGTTGATTTGTTGAGTTTAAGAGAGTGAAAATATAAGAATAAGAGAGAGATTGTGAGTAAAAATGAGTTCGAGAGAGTTTAAGAGAGTGTGTGAGTGAAATAGATTGAAAGAGGGAGAAGGAAAGGGTTTAAAACCCTTTAGGATGCCTCCAACAGTTAAATCGACTGCTTGAAGACCGTTATCAATCGGAAATGGTCGGTTTCGACCGTTATCAATCGGTAATGGTCGGTTTCGACCGTTACTGCTCGGTATAGGTCAATAACGGTCAAAATTTCAATCGTACCGCTCGGTACAGCCCCGTATCGCCCGATACAGGGCCAAAAATCTGATGCTGCCCGGTAGCGGGCAGTACGGTATGAAATTAAAAATCCTATCCCAAACAACTTAAACCCTCTCACTCCAGTTACACTCCATTATTTTTCCAAGACAATTAAAATATCAACACCCCATGAATGAACAAGGGGAACATAAATTTGTCCCATAACCGATTCTTTTACTCAATTCTCAAAGTTATTCAATCAAGCACTGGATATACAATGGCTCCATCTTGTCATTGCATTCTCTAGTTTTCTAAACTTCAGGGTGCATTTGCAACGCAGAGAATAGAAACCCAAACCTATGAACTCCGAGAAAATCTTCACTTGTGCTTCATTTAACACAGAAGCTGTTGTTCAACTCTCAAATTAAATGAACCTGCTAAATGCTGCCATAAAGAGAAACTCAAAACCTAGTCAAACACAAGCAACAATTATGTTCTCTATCTAATCCTAAGAATAATGAATGGTTTAACATAGCCTGTACTACTACATAATAAGTTGCAAAACCAATTCAATTACAGAAAGTTAATGTCAAAACAGAATATCTGTTTCCAAACATTCATGAAGCTCGCCTTCATCCATGGTGAGTCAAAAAACTTATAATTAAATATTTGGATTCACAACATAATCAATTCAATTAGCTAAGTGTTTCAGACTACCAATGTCCTACCAAAAATTGTACACATTGCTATATAAAATTTTAAATTCATTATTTCTCTAGTTATTGCTTAAGCTATTAAGTAAAAATTAAAAATTAAAAAAAAATAATTTACAAGTTGCACATAAGCTATCCTCTAGTTATTGCTTATTGATATTACACCACAATGAAATTTACTTGTGGGATAGACATATTCATAAATGGCATCAATTGTCTAATCTCTATGTTAATTGAAGGGTCTTTAGCTCTAAAAACTAAAAGTTGCTAATATGCTCCAACCAATTTATAATGAAATTTTGGGAGGATTCACCCCAGTATTGAATTATTGATCACATATATCAGTGGTTACAAATAAGTGAGTTTGCAATTAAAAACTAGTCTAATGGGCTAACAAAATGTAATATTGTATGAGGTATAAAAATAATCAAAAGAATACATGGCAGGCTAAAAAAAGGTAGGTAATACAACCTTTCGTGTGCCCCACGAACTCTCGTAATGGAGATATTGTTTTCCTCACATCCCAAACCTGTTATTTGATATAGCAAAAGATAATAAAATTAAAATATACAAAACCTAGGCAAGGCCCTTTGGATCAGGCATATAATCTTTCTGCCATGTTTCATTAATTACATTTGAGATAATGGTTCTCACATAAATAAAACAAAAAAAATCAAAATCTCTAGTTTAAACCGAAAACAGTTGATCATTCCAAAATAAATTGTATTATTTGAGGTTCACCAAATCAGGATTCAAAACTAAAAATTAGATAAAATAATATCTGAAAATGATCATGATCATCAATCATAGAAAACATGGCACATGGCACATGGCACATTACTCTGAGAGCAGGTGAACTATCATCATCTGAAGCAATGATCAACTGTGTAGAAACATCAGGGTTCCATTGCAAGACAGAGCACCTCCTTCTATTTACATCTGCAAAACTGTTTAAAAATAGAAGATTTTTTAATCGTATTCTCTTCAGACTTTATGATGGATTTAGTGAAATCTCATGGATATATCTACATTGTGGACAAAAAACTTGCCTTGTAATAGGTTTCTGTTGCCTCAGATCCCAAACAACTGGAATTATGAAAAGTCAGATGATAAGCAATTCTGAACTACTTAATATGCCTAAATGAGGGGTAACCTAATAAGAATGTAAAAAAAAAATTCTTTATGCACCTGTCATTCCATTAACCGATGTGGATGCTAATATATGCTGAAACTTGGGGTTCCATGAAACAAAGGAAACTTCAGTCTGAGCTCCAGAGCCAACACTCTGTTAAAAAATAATATATCACTCAGATAAAGAAAATGTAAATTTGTATTAATCTAAATCAGCTAAAAGTAGAATCCATAAAATTGAAGATATAATATAGGTCCCTAATACTTCATAATAATGTATCAAATATAGTTTTATTTAGGAATCAAAAAGTAGTCAACATGGCAACAAAGTTGCACAAGTATAGTGAGACGTGGCAGACACAAAAAATCATGTGTCCAGATGACAAGGCAGCAGAAAGAAGATACGAAAATGTAAAAGAAAACTTATTCTAGTAAGCTATGTGTGCTACATACATTTTACAATGTGAAATATGATAACTTAAATAAGAGCTCCTCTAATAAAAAAAAATCCATTTCTAACATGACATGTCAATTTTTATATAGATTCCAGTAGTTATGTATTCAAAATGATTCATGGCAGTGAATGTAAGATCAAGTTAGTGCTAACTGCTAACAATAGTTGAATACCATTAATTTAGTGGAAGAGAACTATGAAGAAAAAAGAATGCATTGGAAACATAAATTATAATTTTCAGTCACATGCTTGGAACAAGATCATCCTTCTAGCCAAACACTTTTTGGTGTAAACAGATAAAACCTTTTCAATGAATTAAAATAATATCTTAAAAAAATCATAGTGGTCAAGAATGTCTCATTACCAACCATTTTCCATGGACATAAGAATTTGTAACCAGCATTAGTTTTCTATTTGATTTGCCTAAATTCAATAGGTTCTATAGAGAAGGCTTCTAAACTTAAGGTGGTTTAAGTAATCTCATATTGTGTCATCTGTCTGAATTTTGTAGAAAAACACCTTCAGAATGTTTCCATGTTCATCAGATCAAAGCTGGCTCAATTAGTTTTGTCCCTAAAACTGGCTGCCTCGTTCAATCCTGTATATACATTTATAGAATATTTTACTTCTTTTAACTAGGGATTGACCGGGATGTGAATTCCCACAAGTAATGGAGAGCAGGTTTCACGCATCACCTCTTGCTGCCCACTGCTCGCTGTTGCCTGTGCACCCGCCGCTAGTATGCCTCCTCCTCTCCTCTTTCTCCTCCACCACTTCCTCTCCCTCTTCCTCCACATCCTCCTCATCTTCCTTCTTCTTCCTCTTTCTTCTTTCTTCTTCCTTCTTCCTTCTCTTCCTCCTCGTTCTTCCTCGTCTCTCTCCCCCAATGATATCACAGTATGTTCCACGTACTAACAGGCAGTACATAGGAACAAACCAGAACCATATAGGTCCGATCATGAACTGCAACGATCTGGTAATTAAACTGTAATCATTGTTGTAGACACTTATTTTTTTCTCCTACTTAAGGCAATGAATTTAGTTAATTCAAGTATCACTTGTATTTGGAATCAAAATATACTAGCAAATTTAACCAAAGCACATTTAGCTAGAAAATATTTTAATAGTAAGTGTGAAAATAAGTTTTCACAATATTTGTGGTTGCAAACATCTGAAGACACTGCACCGTATATAATGTATTATAATAGCGAGACAGAAATATTTATATTTTGTTAAAAAGAAAAACCAGAATTGACACAAACATATTAGTCATATCAGCATAAGTACCTTCACTAGAAATTTCCTAGAAATCACAGGAAGCTCTCTCTTCCTTGCATATCAAAGTGAGATGCAATAATATAAAACTATGAAATGTGAACTCTTTTCTTATCATGTAATCAATGATGTCGAAAGATCCTTGGCACTTGTTTATGTGGTTGGATGAGGTGAGGAAGGCCTAAAGGGCTCAATGGCCTTTGAGCAAGGCACCTTCAACTAGGATGCTACCTAGACAAGCACCTCAATTAGGGTGTTCTTGTAGCAAGTGCTCACCTAAGTTGGTCCAAGCAACCCAAACTATGAAATGTGCTCTCTTCTTATCATGCAACCAATGATGTTAAAAGACACTTGGGCACTTGCTTACATGGTCAGGTGCGGTGAGGAAGGCCTAAAGGGTTCGATGGGCTTTGAGCAAGGCACCTACAACTAGGTGGCCATCAAGACAAGTACCTCAATTGAGGTGTTCTCGTAACAAGTGCTCACCTATGTTGGTCCAAGCGTTCCAAACTACCACTCCTCCATCCAAACATTATCCTTCGCCAATGACATCTTATCACTCTGTCCGATGAGTCTCCTATCCTCTTCTCTCCCTTGTTTGTGGGTGCTTTATTGCCACCCTCTCTTCTCTCTTCACTTATTTTTTATAAGGTAAATATCTTGCTTTACTCGTGTGCCTAACGCCTTGGGTAATAAATAACCTTGGTGCCTCATAGCATCTAGCACTTGTGAACAATTCTGCACATAATAAAGCAAAGAAGAAAAAGAAACAATTGGGTTTTAAAATTATGTTAACAGTAGACCACCTGATTCTTCACACGAGAGAGAGAGAGCTTTTCTAACACAATATGCATACGTTGTACGGACACCATGACATGTATTACCTGTAGTACTATACACAACTTTAACACAAGTATGTTATACTTACCTATCTCAAGATATAATTCAGCTAAATGATGGGCAAAAAAGGTACTGAGAAATTGTTTAGCCATATGCACAACCATTTTATCTCTACTGAGGGAAAGATCCTCCAACATGAAGTGAAGCCATAGGTAACGAGCCTCAGAAACTTATAAACCCATAATATTATTAAAAAATTGAATATTACGATAAATATACATTAGCGATCATCCACTTATTGGATGTGCATTTAGTAAGCACCACTCATTCCCACCAAAAGTATTCAGAGACATGCGTACCCTAAGAGATGGGAAATGACTTGGTTCAGAAGGCTTTGCCAGATCCCAGATGCAAAGCTCCCCTTCGTCAGCCCCAGAAGCAAGTAGATTTGATGAGAGTGAGCTGAACTCCAAACCACGGACCTGGCATAATCAAACACAGTCCGCCAAATTCATCAACATGGAACAACAGAAGTAGATCAGCAACTTGAAGAATCCAAAAACATGAAGGATAGATAATTACCGGCCCCACGTGATTCTCAAGCTTCGCTACAAAAGCACCACTTTGATCCTCCGAACTGCAAATAAAATACAGATTAACCATACCATTCGAAAGTCCATGAAAATTTTTGGTCTAGTGCGATTGATCCACTCTTACATATAAGATCATGGAAACAAAATCCAATTAAGCCAAGATTCAAAAACCAACAATTTAATGACAAAATTTAAGATCTCCAGTAAGATCCGGAGTTTCTGAAATCTAGAGAAAATTGTACCGAGCAAAAAAACAAACAAACAAGCAAAAACACCTGATCAACTTGTGGGGATTCCAGACACCAATGCTGCCATCGCCAAGGCCGCCGGCGACGAGACCCAGGGCGTATTCCTCGGAGGCGGATCCCGGCGGCTTCCCCCAGGAGAGGCGATTGAAGCGCTCGGCGCTGGGGCAGGCGCCGGCGACGGGGAGCTCGTGCGCGTCTGACTGGAAATCGAGCTTGAAGATCTCGAGGGTGGCGCTGGAGCTGAAGGAGAGGTCGACCGCACCGGCCATCGTGCCTGCGGCGAGGTAAGGCGCATCGGGCGCGAAGGCGACGAGCGCCGATCGCGCGGCGCTCTTGATGCAAGCCATGGGGATCTCGAGGGAAGGAGCCCTAGATCTTTCCTCGATCGAGGAGAATAAACGAAGGAAGGCGAGGGGGGGAGGAACCCTAAGCCTGGATCGCAGATCCGAAGCGTTTCTTCTGTGTCTCACCTTCTGTTATGGAAAGGAGTGACGTGGGCGACGAGAGGGATCAAGTCTCGCTTTATTGTTGGAGCTTCTATAGACCGTCCTCCTCCTAAATGTTGGAAATAATACCATATACCCTTAAACGATTTATGGCTTTTTACGTAAAACTATTTTAATTTTTACAATTTATCTGAATTCATCCTAAATATGATAATTTCAACTGATCACATTTAATACATAAATTAAATTTATTTGTATTCACGAGTCGATGCTATTGTTTTCATCTTGCTTTCTCTGTTGTGTTTCTTCCTTCGTCGTCGGTAGTATCCTTTGTCGTAATCTAACATTCTATCATGCATGAGTGTTAGTAATCAAGAGCAAAGGAACATAAAAAAAATACATATGAAATTTTATATCGTTATACAAGGAAAATAAATAGAACAAATGAAGGTATTTTATATACATAATTATGGTCAGTAACCCTTTCAAGATCTGAAGCTTCAAAGCTTGGCAGCTTGAGCTCCTTGATGACGACTAGGAAGTCGCGAATGTTCTCGAAAGACTGATAGGCAGGTAAAGGTTGGATGTCCGAGGCAATGCCAACTGATTGAGCAGCAACAACCTTCAGAATTCATCAAAAAGAAAATAAAAAAAATATGCTAGAAAAATGTCAGATCATAGTAAAAACAGAATCATGAAGAGACCAAACCGAGATCATAGTAAAAACTGAATCTTGTTGATGACATTGCATTAGACGATACCGCTCATGGATGCAATCTGAGAGGCCCATGGATGCTCTCAAGCCAACCGGTTGCTTCGCATCCGAGAGACCGTTAGAACCCTTACTCTCAATTAGGACTCTCTTAGCTAGAGTAAGACACCCTTATAATTTTTTACAGAAATATTTGAAATAGAATAAAAGATGTGAGATATAAAATTTTTTTTGAAAGAAATTATATTCAATGATTTTTTTTTCTTCTGAATGTAATAACACTCTAAAATGGATAAAATCATGTTAATTTTGTCGAGTTGAATTGATGATCAAATTTGATATTATCATTTATTTTTTTATAATATAAAAATAATAACTACTAAATTATGTAATGTTAAATTTTTTAATAAACAAATAAATGGTAAATCAGTGTAACTGTACTCTAAAATTGGATAAAATCATGTTAATTTTGTCGGGTTAAATTGATGATCAAATTCGACATTATTATTTATTAATTTTATAATACATAAAATAATAATTGCTCAATTATGTAATATTTAATTTTTTAAATTAAAAATAAATGATAAAGATATGATTTGAACCAAAAAATTTATAATAAATCATCAAAATCTATATCAGTTAAACTAACTAAAACTTTCTCATTTAATAATTAATCTTATGAAACAATCAGTTTCGTACGGTAAGAAATTTTTTTATTGTTTATCATTTTTTGTTAACTATCTGATAATTCTTTAATTGGTTTGGACTTTTCTCTGGGAAATATAGACTCAGTCTATGTTCACTTCATAACACAAAAAAAAAAAAAATATATATATATATATATATATATATATATATATATATATATATATATATATATATATATATATATATATATACTTTCAAGCTGTTTCTTCGTTTTGAATTCAATTTTATTATTTTTCTACTTCGGTGTTAAAAAATTTTATTTGACTCATTTCTAAAAATCATATTGTAATATTAAAACCAAAATATACTAATATTTTTTATGCGTCTGTTACGATTATTGTCACCACAAAATGTCTAACATCATATAATCCATCCTGTAATATAAATACAAATAGTACTGATGAGGACTATGAAAGTGCATTCATCCCAACATTTTCTACATAGGTGAGGTTGGCATAATATCATCCTATTTCACTTTCCGGGTCAGGACGGTGAGAATACCACCTCCTCATTTAAAATGTTTATTACATGAGACTCTTGGCATGTGTGGTCGACCTCATGAAAACTACAAATATCAATCATAAATGTTGTGAATGATGTACCATTCTAATCGTTCATCGTTCTTCTTAGAAGTTCATATCTATTAATAATTTTGAACTTTGAAAAAATTTAAATGTTCATATATATTAAAAAAATATTTTAAATATATAATATATAACGAAAAAAATAATTTCCTTAAAAAAGCCCGAGATTTTCTCCTTAGATTTTTTATTTTATATATTTATTTTTCTCTAATACCTCTCATTGTCATTCGTTTATCTTTCTTATTTTGTTGAGATAATGATGTTTTTGGTTTTTGCTATATATTTTTTTTTATGAATATTGCCGATTGCACTATAGCTTCCTAATGCCTCGTTGTCTTTGTCTTATTACTTTGATTATATCGCTTTTCGCCCCATCATGATCATTTCTTTCCCCTTCAACCTCATCATTACCTGTGATATCATTTTCTCTTATGTCCATTGTGCTTTGGATTAATCATTGAAATATGCTCATATTTATTTTACTACGAGAAAACGATTTTTACTATAAAACAGAGAAAACGATTTTTACTATAACAAAGAGAAATTAAAGCATTAGAGAAAACTGATGACATCAAATGACATTGTAAAAAATCGGAGACATAATTTAAAAAATATTTTTTTAAAAAAATTCATCCTAAAAAAAACACATACATTTATTTATTAGGGATCATAATTTTTGTTTGTTTTAGAAGAAGAATAAATGAATGATGGGGAGAAGTGATATCATTATTTTTGAATATTATATATTGATTCTATTGGATTATCCGGTAAAAATGGGTCAAATTCGATACAAAATTAGGCTACATAATTGCAAGCATTTATGATCATCAAAAACCATTTGCGGTCCTTTTACTTATCTTTCGTGGGACTCCTTTATCCACGTCGGGAGGCACATTGTTTTCTCCATCCACCAATCAATTCATGCCCACAACAAACGATATTATTATTATTATTATTATTATTATTATTATTATTATGCATGTTGACCGAAGAAATCAATGCCGCTCTAAAGCACGCCAACCATCGACCCAACCACCCGCCCATTCTTCCAGTCCACATCCTCCACTCCCATTCTGTCTTCTCTACACTTACCTACCCACAAAAAGCCATCTAATTGGAGCCAATTGTGACCCAATGTAGTCTTAATTGACCCCTCGGGTTCAATTTGAGCTCGTCAATACTTGTAATTGTTGGGTACAACTTGCGCAGACCGATTCGGGTTCGGAGTTTGGACCGTCGGCCCCGTGCAGCTCGAGACCACGCCCTATTTATTATCCGCTGCTGACATCCAAGAAGACCGGAAGGTGAGGAAATCCGCTTCTTTGTTAAATTCACCGACCAGGGTTTCATAGACTTCCCATCCGTCCAAAGCAGGGTCCATAGAATATTTGTTGGCTAGTTGTCAACGGAAGGGCGATATCTCGTGAACGGTGACGTAGTGGTGGTATGAGATCCGGAAGTTTCCTTCCTGGGGAGATGCACCGAGAGCGACCTACCCACTCATTCTGCAGTCGCGGCGTTGACGGCGTGTGTGGGGCAGCACGTGACGTGAGGCAGTCCGTCATCGACTACCCCCACTCGTCCGCACGCAGGCAGCCCGTGTGGAGCCCACGACACTCAACCCCTCCCCTCTAGACCTCTCCTGGCCTTCTCTTTCATTCGCAGGCGAAAGATACCGTTCCGAAGACGCGGCATCACGCGCTGGTATTTTTACTGCGTCGTCGTCTCCTCCTCCTATTCCACCTTCGCACCGCATCCAAGAAAGGGAGATCAGTAGCGAGGGAGGAGGGAGAGGAAGAGGAATTCTACGGGATCCCCTTGCGATCTCGCCGTTGACGCTGCCTCCTCCCCCCCCCCTCCTCCTCCCGCCATGTCTCCCCATCGGTTGATCCCACAGGTAACCTCTTAATTCGGGATCCGTTTGGCAGTTTGGTCGAAGTAGCAACTTTGTTCCCATCAATAATGATTTGCATTCGCTGGAGGGTTTGGGTTTGGGTTCGGGTTCGGATACAATTGGTGGCGAATTGTTTCTTTCTTTCTGCATCTGCCTGGGGAATTGGTCTTTGTGAATGATCCTATGGGGAATAATCTGTATGCTTTATATTATTTACAATGATATTTGTTTAGATAACAAGGAAAACCGCTTCAAGTCGAACAAGATATAACTTTATCTGAAATGCCTAAATAGAGGATTAGTTGTGGCTTCTAGTAGCTGCAGCCACCATTAATGGCTCGGCAATTGTCAGATGCTGGAAATTCCGCGTTATCTGCTAGGGATGCTTCAGAAACTGCCTGGATTTAGTGACTCGCTTCCTAGGTGGTTATTCAATTAGAAGATAACTTCGACCAAGATAGACAGGAGTTCAATGTCAAGAAACGGTCTCTATGAAGACGAGTAGAGTTAATTTACCAGAAAAGGAACTTTTCGTCAGGAGAAGTGGGAAGCATCCGATGCTTATGATAGGATCAACATAGGTAGTTACTGGAGATATATGCTCATGATGACATCATTTTGGAAGTAATGTCTGAAAGATCTTAGTTCGCTCCTTTTGTTTTTATTACAAAATGTGTTTAATTAGGTCTAGGATTGACTTTAGATCTTATTTTCTGCACGCTCTCTGTCAGCAGCTTATAATAAAAGCATTTAGAGTTGGCCAATCACCTAAGAGGTATGTGGAACAGTGGAAGTGACATTAAATTAGTTTGGATTTTTTATCTTGGTGCCCACCAACGAGGAATCGAAACAGTATTTATGTAATTTATCTTGTAAACATGGAAGTTGTTCCTATGAATTGAACCCAGGTTACCTACATCACAAAGGAGTGATCTTATCATTTCACCATTACTATCTTAGGACTTATTGATCCATCATTAAGTTTGCAAACTATCTTATGAAGCTTGAAATCTCTCAGCTAGGCTTTTCCTTATGGATGATTCCTGGTCCCTGATTGTGTTTCGGTTTTTCCCTCTATTTTTTTGTTTATTTTCTAAGTGATACCTGTTGATGTTTGATATTACTCATGCTTTATGTAACCAATTGTTTGTTCCACTGCATAAAGACAAATTTTCTTCCTTG